AACCGACCACAATAACGATACCGTTACCGATTTTTTAGCGCGGTTAGCACGCGAGTAGGTTTACCGAACGGAGCCGCACGATGCGCCGCAATCTTCCACTCGGTCGTCATGCCGCTCTGCGCAGTTGTACACTCGATATCTGGGGAGCGCTCTGCGGTGCGCCCCGAAACACGCGTACGCGAAAACCAATGTAAAACGAGAAAATATAATGCTGCGCGTGCAACGTGTCACCGCAGGTATTAGATTGAGTAACAATAACTCGTCTCGATTTTGAAGGAATTCGCGCGAGATGAAACAATCTTCCAATCGTGACGAATCAGAGTAATCGAATGGTAATAGGTTAAAGGGGAGGGGGATATTCGATTCTGAGAATTGAATAGAGTTAGCGGATGAATAGACTGATTCACGTAACGCGCGCTGTTCGAATGATCGAATTTGGATTCGAGTCGATAGGATTTCGTTTTGATTTTTGTCGAGATTTTTTATTTGTATCTATGTGGGAGAAATTATATTACGTTGCACGTAGGCATTGAATGTTCGATCGATAGATATGATAGGTAGAAGCTGTTAATTTTTATAAAGAAAATTATTGGTTGCAAAGGAATGGTACGATAACAATTTTATCTTTATATCCCAACAAATAAAGCAATTTTATAAGTCATTTAACTTCTTATCATTGTCTACAATTTGTAATAAATTTGCTATGATAAGCAATAGAGAAGAAGAGAGAAGAAGTCTGAGAAGAGAAATGCAAATCTGACCGTGCAAACAGTTTAAAAAGGAAGAAGTTTACTTAAATACTTATATCCTAAATAATACGAATAATTGTTATTCGATGTGCAAACACGTGTAATACAAACAAATGATTCACAAAATAACAGGCACACTTTCTATTAATCTAATTTAACAAGCAATAAGTTTATCGCTCTCGGATTATATCTGTTTATATATAAATACAACAACAAGATTGAAGTAATTTCACGCAAGATCTCTAATAAAACGTATTCGTGAATAAAAGCGTAGCTCTTATTTACACAGATTAAATAATCAAAGGATAATCATTCAAATCAGATGTAATTTCGAGCTTACCTCGTATTCGATCCACTAAATCCACTTTCAACGTTTAATGTATTCTGCAGATAAAGCTCTTGGCGATCGTCGGTTTGAATATAGAACAACGGGACATTTCGAGTCTCTTGGTCTCTAACTTCTTCCACTTGGGATCTAGAGAGTACGATATTATAAACTTTGTGATCGATGTTACAAACTTTTCACGCGTTAATCCTTTCACGTTTAATTGCACCTCGAATTGATACCATCAATGCACGATTAAAAAAGATTTAAAAAAAATATAATATCTAAATCATTGATCAACTCTTCACTCAACCAAACGGAATCATTTTTGAACGCATATTTCTAAATGATATTTAGCATATGTACATAATTCAAATGCATAGGCGAAAAATGGATCGATCACTTTTTTTCGTCGATGATTCGATTCGGTTAAAGATAACTAAATTTACCCTATGTGCGAGGACAAAGCTTCTCTGAACTCCAATATATTCCCCCCAGGGATATTTTCGCGGTTCAACACATTCACGAAAATCCCATTCGTGGTCATCGCTTCGGTGGTCACGGAGTTTGAAATCGTTTGAGCAGGTTCGATTTCAGCAGTCGCAATCATGGCGGGATATTCGCCTGTAAGGAAGCCCGACTAAATTTCGTGGCGCATAAACCGATGAATATTGCATTACCACAGAGTACAAGTCGAGTATAAAGAAAAATTGAAAATATAGTCTCGAATCTATTTCTTCCTTCTTAGAATAATTGGAAATTTTTGTCGTTTTATGTAATGTAATAAAATTTCTTAATAACGTGAGAGATTATGCTCCGTGTTACGATACGATGTTATTATTAATTAAACTTATTTAAATAATGGATAATGAATCGATATTTTTTCATTGGAATAAATTCTTTTAGATAATTATAGAAATAATTATAGAAATAATTATATAACGCGCTACAATAAATAATCGAGTCAATTCAAAAACGTGTAAATAATTTTTTCACGTCTTCTTCAGCAATTTTTCAATCGCACAATTTTTTATTATTATAATGTATGATATATGTTGGAGCATAATTTTTAATTCGCGTTATATGTAGGAGAATCGCACTATAAGATTCTGTACATGATATAATTGTGGTAAATAATTTTTCGTGAAAAAAATTCTGATAGAGACGCGAACAAACAAACAAACACAAAAGAAAGAAGCGAAATATGAATCATTAAGGGCAAACATTTCGAAAATCAATAAGCCCGCATGATAGGATTTACCCCTTCTCCCCCTTTCCTATTCACATAATCAATGATTGGAAATACTTGTGTTGTCGTTTTCGTTCGAAGACGAAGGTCCTCCAGGATCATGTCCCCTGAAATCGTTCGAAGGTCCACCATAAATCTCGTAACTATTCGTTTTAACAGCATGGTTCTCCGACCAACTGATCGAATCCTCATCTTCCGGTATAGTTTGTTCATTGCTCGTGGACACTGATAAATCGTGGCTCATCAACATTATATTATACATATAAATACGAAATATAAATGTGAAGAATTGTAAATGTTTCGTTTCGAATTGCTATATTTCGAAACAAACGTAGATTTGAATTTTAAATCGATAATCTGAACAGCAAAGTTTATAGATAATATCCTTACATTTGATAACAATCGTGTAATCGTACAAAAAATTAGGATAAATATTTCGTCTAGTATCTTTGGATTCCTTGAATCGTAGAATGAAAACGAAATTTTGTAGAAAAACGAAATATTTCGTATATATCATTATTTATAATTATAATTTATAATTATATGATTTAAAATTGAGAAAAAAATAAATATCTAGAATTGAATACTATATTTTGTAATGCAACCTCATTAAACATCTAAAAAAAGAATTAAAGAAAATATCTTCTCCTCTCTTATTTAATATTTATACATATATGCGAAAAAGAGAAATCAAACTTTGTTGTTCGTAGAAAATAAATTCATTATATTTATCATACACGTTATAATTAATATAAAATTAAGTTAATTTCCATAATATAAACATTTACCCATCGAGATTTCTAGCATCGCGCGGTTTAACATGCTTTCCGTGATTTCGGTCATTTCAGAAATATTACTGATCGGTTCTCTTTCGGATTCGAGATTCCCTCCGCTCTTCAATCTCATCAAACGTCTCAGGTAATAACCGACATTCGGTAGCTTCGATCTGATCTATTCGTTATGATCGCTAAACGAGGTTCCGTTCAAAAGCAAGACGAAATGTCGCGACACGTGTAACATTTAAATCGTTAAATAAATATTAATACTTGAAAATATGTTGTTTACTCGAGACCGTTACAAATGAAAATAAATTGACGTGTTGGTGCTACGTATTTGTAATTCTCTTTTTTTCATGTGAACATTCATGATTACTGTAACACAGTAACTGTATTCATATTTAGATATCACCGATAATTCTAAATTTGTTACTTTTTGTATTAATGTGATTTATAAATTTTAGTCTCTAAAAGAAATTTTTAGCATTTTGTGCTTTTAAAATTAAAATTAAAATACTTAAGTATTTCATACATTAACATTTTCATATTGCATACTTTGATTTTAATTAAAAATATGAAATTTTTTATTAAAAATAAATTTGAACGTTAAAATTTCCAAAGACTTTTTTTTTTTTTTTTTTACTTTTGTATTATATATTAGAAACATCAATTTTTGAAAAAGAAATATTGATTTTAATATAGATATAATAATTAAACAAATTTAATTGACTTTATCTATTTATTTTTATCAATTTCAATAAAAATAATAATATATGTAATAATGTTGTTAATAAATATTGAATATAAAAATAAATGATTAATTAACATTTTATTTAATAATTATTTGATTTTGCATAAACATTTGCAAACATTTATAAGTTTATTCATAATATACTAAAAATTTTCAACAATTTGAATGTAATTGAAATATATGAAGCAATAAATTCAAAGACACTATAATAAGTGAAAAATGAAAAGAAATCATAAATAGTTACTTGATTCAAAAGATGGAACTATATTTCGAAAATTATGAATTTGAAAGAACATCGAGTTAAAAATAAAAATAAAAAAAAGATTATGTGTCAGACGTTAAAATCTCACCTTCTTGGTTATGTTACTCGCGGTGGGTAGATTCGTACCCTTAACATGCTTATCAACGGAACCCTGCGAGTTTAATTCTTCCGCATCATTTGCCATAGAAATATTACTTTCCGACAGATTTTCTGAGAAAGTACCATCACTCATAGCGAAAGTCAAAATATCCACGAGAAGGTATATAGAAACTAGGCATAGGCCTGGGTTACTTGTCAATTTTCACATCGTGCAATTTGACATTACCCGTCGGTTTTTATCGACCGTCGCTTTTTCGTTGGCACCACCTTCATTGTTTTCGTTTACGCGTGTTACGATTTTAATATTTAAATAACAATCAGAGCATTGCTTTATTACAAAACACCGTTTGATATATTTTAAAACGTAAATAAGCAACAAAAATCATAACAAATTTTAATTATATATATTATACGCAATAAATGATATTTCATGTAACTATTTAAATTTCATATAATTATGGAAGTTTGTGTTAAGCGATCTTTATAGCATTGTTAAAAAATAACATTCATTATATTATTAATTTCAAAAACATATTAAAAATGTCTTTCATAATAATTTTAATAAAATTATACTAAATGATTTATTTCTAAAATATATTGAACTACACTTATTAATATTATATTCTGCTTATAAAAAAGAATCAAATAAAATATTTAAAGGTTATGAAAAAAAATTAACAATTTGGAATCCTCCTTGCAAAAATATGGCGATGCAGGAAGCATCTGATTATCGAACACATCGAAGCAATCGTAATTATTACGAAAAATGACAAGCAATAATTCGCTTACCTGATAAGTGTAGGGTGTACAAGGAACGTAAAATTCTCTGCTCATAATCGAAACTCGGAGCGGTTGTAAAATCCAGCTGACGAATCTTGGGCAAGTGTCAAAATGCCGGTGGCGCCATCTTGAACTCGTCTGGAGTCGAGGTCGTCAAGCTGTCACGAGGAAAAATTCTTGATTTCTTCCAAGTATGAGTGCCATCGTTGGATATTCTTCATGAAAATTGAATTACGTTAGTTTAATTAAGCTTGTACATCTCGTTCGACCTCTAAAACATTAACAGGAATTCGAACATATCCGTTGTCAAATCACAGTACGAGTCACCAACACACAACACACTTTTCACGCTGTTATTAGGATGAGTGATCCATCGAATTAATCACAATGCTTTTAATTGGACGGTATCGTTATAAATGCTTAAAAAGTCAATTGATAGACGCCTGTTCACTGTTCGAAACTTTTCACGACATATTTATGCGATGATAATTACGGCGTTATACCACCTTACTACGCCATTTTCATGTGCAGTATTTGACTTAACTATATTACAAACAAACCACCGTTCGCGTCCACTGGCTAGTGCCGACTGCCGCCAATCATGAACATCAAGCGGATAATAATCATGGCGGCGCGATGTTTCGTTGCACGTAGCGCCATCATGTAACTTATTTGAATCACAATTTAACTTCTGTCGATAATATAAATAACAAAAATTTTTTTTTTTATTTGCAATTTTATATATATGTATGTAGCTTTTCGCTTATCAATGTATGTAAAAGCATAAAAAATATAAAAATATTTGATAAAAATATTATTTTTAGTTCGTATCAATATATATCAATATTATTTTTCTACCGTGATATAAACTACATACATATTAAGTGATTTCGATCAGTTAAAAATAAACTCAATGAAAAAGATTCTGAGCGACCTTGTAGTTATAAAAACTTGCACAATCTGATACATTTTAATATATTTTTTTATACGCTTATAAATTTTTAAATGTGGAATAATTATTCTTTAATAATTATTTTTTAAATCTTAGTACTGATCGTATATTATTTTCCAGGATTCTTTAAAATATATACTTATGCATTTATAAAAAAGTGCAAAAAATTTTATTATATCTTCAAAAATAGATATTATAAATTATAAAATGTATAATATAAAATGATTTATATTATAATTATGTAAATTAATTTATAAATTATTTGTAAGGTGAATTGTTTTTGCATCCAATTGTACAACAACATTTGCCTTTTGTAATTGCTGTTCGAGGTGGATATTTTGAAGAAGGATGCTTCTTTTTTTGTGATTCAATTATTATATTTCGCGGTATTAAAATGTCATTCCATGGAATCTCAACATCGGTAGTAACACAAGCCTCTTCTTGTACAGGTTGTATATCCATTGGCTTTTCGAGTACAAGATCATTCCAAGGAATTTCTAACGTAGAATCGCAACTCTCGATAGCATCTTTTTTCGAAGGTACAGTTTCCGTAATAATTAAATCTTTCCATGGTAAAAGCATAGTTCCTAAAGATTCTTTTTCCTCTGTTTCTTTTTCTTCCTTCTCATTTTCATCTCGATCAATCAAAGGAGTCAAGGAAACATCTTGACGAATTTTCATGCCAACTGCTGGTAATACAATATCTTTCCATGGCAATTCAATCTTTGAATCACATAATATAGATACACGTGAAAACTCCCTCCGTAAATCTTTTAAATATGGTTCATGCCACAATTCTTCCTCCGGATTATATACTAATGTTTGTCTCTTTCTTTTGCATTCTTTCCTTCGCTTTTGTAATTTTTTGCATTGACATCCTAACACTTTTCTCCCGTCAGTCATAATAATTGAATAGTATATAAAATATATTTTATATTTAATATAACATTAAATTATAAATTAATATTTAAATATAACTTGTTAATTTTCTGACATTATCTGACCTAGGGTTATAATTGGAATCAACGTAGTTGTTTTGTTTTACCATATATAGAGCATTGTTAATATAAATATATATATATGGAAAGAAAAATATCTTCTTGAAACAGAATGATGTCATACCTAAGATATAGACATATAAACTATAACTTATACAATAATAATATATTTTTCTTACTTTCGTTCCACTTTTATTTTAAATTAATCATCTCGGAACATAAATTCACTATTATTCTAGGTTAGTTACTAGATACTTGCTTTAAAGAAAGGAAACAGCGTAATGTGATAACTGCATAGTAAGTATTTGAAAATTATATGATCATCGTTAAACTGAGGTATATATTTAGTATATGTATATACATATATACGTGGTATATAACACACATATGAATAAAATTCGTTTAATCACGCGCATTGGCCAATCATTTGTACCTTTCATCACGACATCTACCGAGAAATGATAGTATAATGTTAAAAATCCACTAGTTGCCGATAAAAGGAAATCCGTGGAGTCTCTGGCTTAATTTCACAATAAAAGGTGTAAGAGAAAACACAATAATATTATTTTCCTTTAAAATGTTCCTCCAATAAAATTTATTTGTTAAAATAATCGTAGACACAATTGCAAATAATTTGCTTGAATATGAAGGGGACAGTGCAAGAATAGCTCACGGATGCTGATTTGACCAACGCTGTAAGGCTACGTTTAGAAGGCAGCCATCTTGCAATCCCTAATCAAAGATCTTCGGCTAGCGGCTATCGCTGTCTGATTTTCAGCCGGTTAATATCAACACACAGTTCAACAAATGGCTTTAAAACGAATTAATAAGGTACGTGAATGATCAGAGGTGTTCGTATTATACAAAGACAGTCGGGTGTTGATGTGATTGTGTGTCGAATGCGGTTGAACGCCCTTAACGATTTTGCAGTGAAGCAATGTGAGCCAGCATTGAAAATCATGTTGGCTTTTCCCCTTTTTTTTTGCATTCTTCGGTTGTGCTTTGATTTACTTGCGTACGCGTTTATATCGACATAGTGCATTATGCACGTTGCACAGTGCCACTTTGTGCCAGTGGACGTAGCTTCGGTGACAGTGAAAATCTAAAAAAATTTTAAGTGGCTAGCCGATAAATTGCCGGAAGTAACGTAAAACCGTGCATTACATACATCTATGTATACATATATGTTTACTCATATATACATATGCATAAAATTATAGATAACTTAGAATTTACGAAAATTTCATTAATATCTTCATATTCTATTTGTAGATAAAAATACTATTAGAAATCTTCTAATTAACCGTTACATATTTGTTTCATAATTTAGTTAATAATTGTCACCATGTGACTACAATTTACATTAGTATAATAAAGAGAATCATTTAAAATTAATATATTTTTTTATAATGCATAATCTATCAATTATTATATTTCTTAATCAAATTATAATTTAACGTAGAAGGACAAGAGAATAGAAAGTTCTACATGTATCGTTCTCAAAATAGTCATATAAAAGACAAAGTATATGTTACTTTCCCTTCTTACTTCATTTCTGTTATCTTGTTACACAGAATACAAAAAATATCATAAATGTTTTAACTCACTCATATTTAATTTAACTATACTTTTCTTTTAAATTATTCATAAATTCATCTGAATTGATTTTTCCATTTAATTGCATGAAACAATTAAATTTTTACATTTAATTATATTTTTATATTTATTTTAATTCAATATAGATTCTTTACTTTAATCAATTTACTTTAATCAATTATACAATGTTAATATATTATGGTTATCTTATGTGTAAGACATGAATTATTTTTAAGATATATAAATAATATAATATAATATAAATGAATTATTTTGTATATATTTATGAACTTGTATATTATAAATAAGATTTTGAAATTTAATTTATATTAATGATACATTTACATAATTATATATGTATATAGATATATACATATGTAAGAATGTTCTAGAATATTTTGTTTACACATGTTCATATATACTATATATCTATAGATATATAAATTTTAAAATTCAAAATTTTATTACACAAGACAAAAGAATATATTATTAATGATATATATGTATTAACAAAAATTTAATTTAAAAATAATTTTTTTAAAAATGAAACTATATATTATTGGAAGAAGTTATATATAAGATGTGAATTATTAAATAAGATTTATATATTTTTATATCTATCTAAAATATTTTATTTATATTATACAAATTTATTGATATTTAGGAACTTCAGGACCTTGGTAGAGATCCACCTGCGCAATGCTCTGCTGGTCCTGTAGGAGATGATCGTAAGTTCATTAAAAATTATTATTTATGCATTCATTTTAATTAAAGATTAGTAAATCATAATTGTCTTCATTATTATTATACTTATTATACTTATTTATGAAACATATAATTTATATAATTTTTTTGATTCTTCTAAAATATATACATATCATTCATTGTCAAGGGAAACTGAAATCATTTTTTCATTATTTTTGTTTATTATTTGAAATTTTTGATGCTTTTATAAATAAATATAATTTATTATTTAATTTTAAGATGATCAATTATGATTTTTAATAAACTATAGCTTTTACATTTAATTCTCTACTTGCTTTCAGTATTCCATTGGCAAGCAACTATTATGGGACCAGTAAGTATATAATGATTTTAATATTATATTACATGAATTAATTAAATATTTATCATCTTGAAATGCATATCTTAGAAATATTAATGTACATATAAATATAATTTGAGTATTATTTTCAAGTATCTTCACTTTCACTCTGATATTTAAAGGTAATTTTTAAGTAATGAAATTTATATTGTATACTATCTACGGCTAATAATTTCATGTAAAAATATATAACCCAATGCATGTAATAATCCTCAATAAGATTTTATAAATCATTTTTCATTTGATTATAATATATTATAATATTTATGTAATATTATAATATTTGTTTCTATTTACAGTAATTATATTTACTATTTATCATTAATAATAATATTGGATATTAATTATTAAATTTTATTGAATATAATTTTAAAAAAGATATTATTTCTTTCTTTTTCATATATGTTAAAAAAAATTATAAATATCGATAAAATTTACATTATATTTTAATCGCAATTAAATATTATATATTTAGGAATAAATGTTATTTTCAGCCTGACAGTCCATACCAAGGAGGAGTATTTTTCCTTACAATTCATTTCCCCACAGATTATCCATTTAAACCACCTAAGGTATATTAATAAAAATTTTCAGAGTATTTTATTATATAACAATATATAAATAATATATTAATTCTATGTGTTAATTATATATATATATATATAGGTTGCTTTTACAACCAGAATTTATCATCCAAATATCAACAGTAATGGAAGTATTTGTTTGGATATTTTAAGATCGCAATGGTCCCCAGCACTTACCATATCAAAGGGTTTGTAAAAATTTTTAAATAACAGGATGAAGAAAACAATAATAGCATAACATTTTTATAAAATTTAATATTTTAATGTAATCTTTAGAAGAACAAATTTTTTTTTTTTTTAGTGTTATTGTCAATATGCTCTTTGCTCTGCGATCCAAATCCAGATGACCCTTTGGTACCAGAGATAGCAAGGTTATACAAAACTGACAGGGAGAAGTACAATGAATTGGCACGTGAATGGACGCGCAAGTATGCCATGTGATGCGTCAATCTCCGTTGATTTCAACATCTAAAAACCACCAACAAGCAGCCCCAGCCTATTGCCACTTATGCATCAGCACCGATTGAAATTAGCTATGGCTCGTCTACTTTAAAACTTAAGCCAGTACTCGGGTTCGAAGAATGCTCAGACAAACGTGATCAATCTGAAGTTCCCTTCGTACCGAGAGGCCTGCGAATATTGAGACGTTGCCACAATGGCAATTGAGGCAATTTGAAAGGTGGTCACATAACATTATATATATATATATAAATCAGGAAAAAAAAAAGAAACATGTCCGCTTTGATTTTCATAAATAAAAATGGAAGTAAAATATAGGAGAGTGAAAGTAGGATTTGTATTTGAATTTAATAGTTTAATTTCTAATTATTGTGCTTATAATATCGTAATATTATATACCTACTTTCTCAGTGAAATGAAAACCTTGAACTGACAGCACACCGATTGTTAGTTTTAACGCAAGTGAGCAATGTTTGCCCGTCCCTTGGAACGATGCGGTCACTTTTTTGTAAGACTGGGCTATATATAAATACTACTGAAACTATACCTGTATGTTTTGTTCAATTATTAAAATTCCTTACCTATCTAACAAATTCTACGAGTAACTCGAAATTTATAGTTTGGTTCCTGTGTGTGTGTAGTAATTTAATTATGCATATCGTTAATCGATAAATTGGACTATACATCTTAAAATAATTCAACGTACGTAAAATAATAAATTTTGGTGACTTAAATGACCGCGACATAAGTACCTGCCGTTCATGGGCCCGTGCGATACTAATATCAATCAAAGGCATTCACGATTTCTTATGACGTCGTTTGGCTTTATTTACATATGAAAAATGTAGTCATCGATGTCACTATTTATCGATAAATGATGAGAGCGAAATACATTTTGTTTGAATTCTTATATAAAACGCGTTACAAAATAGATAAGAAATGTTTCAAAGAGCCCTAGAGCTTAACAATGGATTTGTAAAATCCTCTGAATTCATTTTATAATAGTGCGTCATTATATAATCAATAAAGTCATGCGTCGTACCTTGCGAATTAAGAATTCGCCCGTCGCTATGTTTTACTCGAATCAATGCGTTAATTATTGTTTTGCGTGTAAATTTTTCTTTAAGCGATTTTTTATTATTATTTAGTACTTGTCTTAAGTTTCCTTTCCATCCACAATATAAGTATATACATACCATCACATCCCATTATTATATTAAAACTCGTATATTATCGTATATGGCAGTAAAATCATCCTTTAAAATTGATTTTAGTTTTTTCAAATACGTTTTCAATCGTTATACATTTTTGCAATTTATTGTGGCTGTAAAGGATCACAGTAAGATTTCAAATTATTTGCAAACTCCATTGCAATTTTTACAAGATAAAAGAACATGTTGTTAATCACGATAACATGTTATTTATCGATAGTTTGTTCAAACTAATTTAGAAACAATGCACCTCTCGTTGGTGCTAGCAGTGTTTCGGCTTCTAATCCTAGGTAACGAATACAATCCGAGATATCATAAAGATGGTCACTTAATTAGAGAGTAAGTAAACGATTTTGTCTTGCGAATGGTGTAAAGTGCGTTAACGAGCAAGTTTTGAATGTAATCGGTGCTTAAAATATGGCAAGCTCACGGAGCGAAAACGAAGCCTAGAAAAGACAAATCGATTAGTATGTAATATGGTATATCACTTGTTAATGTCGATTTTGTCTCATACGATCGTGTACTGCTGTAATTTAATTACAAGTAAATGCGCGGCAAATCAGGTATTTAAATATTTGCCTCGAAAATGGATCATCGTTCATCTCTATTAGAAGGAAAACTACTCATGTGTAATTAATTATTATTACCACATCTCATGTGTAATTATTATTATACATATTATAATTAATTATTATTATTTTAGCATTAGCCCTTTATATAATAAATTTCAAATAATGATAAGGTATATCTATTCTGATCACTTATAAACTACGATCATTGGCGATTATAGACAATTATCTTGATATTTCCATTTTATTTCATATTTTATACGTACTACAATTCTGTCATTGTTGCCTTTTATTTAAAATTTGTATTTAAAATCTGCAATATCTGCAATATGTGCCTTGACCGAATTTCGAAACGTAAAACTGGTAATTTAAACTTTTCAAAATAAGTGTTTCGTTAATTTTAAACAAGAATTCAATATCCGCGTAAAATTGTAAATATTAGTGCATTTTCTTTATTAATTTTTTAACTTAACTTTTAACTTAGGACAAAATGAAATTTTAAGAATAAAATTGATGTCAGATTTACAGTTTCATAACTGTAGACAAAAAAAGGGGACAAACAAAGAATCTTCGAACGATCGGAGTTTAAGGTACACGTCTGAACCAGCAGATGTCTTTGTTAGACTTTCACGAAGGAACTGACGCATCTTATGTCCGTTAACAATTTTTAGATACGCTGAAAAAAAAAACCGTGGAACGGTGAAAGTGGCAATGCTTTCCCCCTTTTGCTCTGGCTGCTCTTGACCGTTGTGCACCTATTTTACAACAGTGTTGGCAGAAACCTGCTGAAACAGCGAAGTCAGTGATGGAGATAAGCATATTTTTATCTGATCAACTGAATTTCAAGACTCTTGGAAAAATGTATCACAAACAAAAATCCAATTAAAATTTATTCATTTTAATCATTTCTTCGAGTTGTAAGTTTACATTTTTTGTTTACATTAAATTTAAACAAATACGAATTTATTTTCGAAATTTAAATACATTCTTTATCATTATAATATTGAAAAATTAATTTTAATATAAATACGATTCAACTATGTATATTATGAAAATATAGAATCTATTTCTTTTGATTCAAGAAATCAAAAGTTCATAAAAAATAATTTTTTTAGTAATAAAATGATAGTAATTATTTTATTATTATAAGTAATATATTATTTTCAGGAATCTTTAACTAAAAACTTTATGCGGATGTGACAATTAATATCTTTACAGTAAAAATTTTATCTATTTACGATTCTATTTAGAGAATAGAATATTTAAAATATTTTAAAATGTTAATTGTTATTCAAAATTTTATCAAGTTTTATTGCACCGTGTTAATGTAATTCTTATTTTTTTTATCCCGTATATTAAGCAAATTTAACAATATATATTAATATAATTAATAATTAATAATGTCAATAAAAATTAAATTGAGTAACAATAAAAACTTCGCGATAATATTTTATATTTATTTCTTCACTTTTTTTAATATTTAGTATTATTTTTAATTAATTCTGTGGAACGCGCTTTTTTACGATTACTTTTTTACGCGCTTTTCTTTATACGAATGTAGGACATCGGTAACTATATGATTTACATATTTATATAATTAAGTTCCAAAAAATATTCATCCATTTCATTTTTGCTGAACTTCAAACTTAATATGTTTATTATTAATAATAATTATGATTTTTATATTATTTATTCTAATACATAAAAAATGCATAGACATCTTCTTAATATATAAAGAATGTTCTCTTTATCTCGGATCGTATAATAAGGAGAATAGAAAGTTTGAAAAAACGAAGTTGTCCAGTATTACTCATAAGTGTTCTACTAAAATATAACAAACTTATACTCTTTTCTATTCTCTTAATATATTCTTATATTTCTAATCTATTATACATTCCTTATAATAAATATAATATAATTTTTCGTCTCAATAATTCGATGTTAATAAACTGTTTCAAATAAAATCAATATCATTTTTCATAATTAAATATCAATTTAATTTATTTCACGTACAGAACTATAAAAATGATATAATATTAAGCACAGTATAATTACGGTAATCAAAAAAACTAAAACTACTATTAAACTTCTTCAATAATCAAAATAAATATATACTTATATTCTCTAAAAATAAAACTGAAAATACGAAAAAACAAAAAATATTTAACGATCTTCTTAAATATAAATATAAATATTTAAATCATAACATAAATAAATGTTTTTATAAACGTCATAAACTTATTAACCAAATTTGTTTTAAAAAAACACGACAAACACTGGCAATAGAGCCAACAACCGAGTCAAGCGAGAGCGTGTAAAGCATAAGAACGTAAGAACGTGATTAACACGGAGATCGAGTGAAAATAAAAACTCGAGCCCATCGCTAGCCCGTAGTACGGGAATGTGTTTCGATCTATCGAGCGGCGCTTTGGACCGTCTGGTTACAGTGCAGTTCGTTCAGTGTCAGTGCTGGTCTCGGCACGTTCGGGGATCGAGACGGAGGAAGGTTGATTCGCTCGTGGTGGTGGATAGACACGCATGATCGTCGGAAGAATGTGTCGATAGATCGACGACCGAGTGACTTGCTGCACCCGCCGCGATCTTTTCAAAACGTTGATTGCGATCGCTCGATAAACACTCGCGTCGCGAGGGCTTCGTAACCAGACGACAGGCCGCAGTCAAGTGGTACGTAGGCATTAAATGTTAACGATAACCAGACAGACGAAACGTTGTTCGCGATTATTGTCAGGGCTTCAACAAAGGGGGAACGTTTTAAATCATTGTAAAGTGGCATATATCACGCTGGAATTGCAATTAGCGTGGTACGTATCTGTGTCCCCCGGTGTCGCGTTCACTTGTCGACGCGCTTTGTGTTTACGAACAAACGCGTGCATTCATCCATCGTCTGATTCTTCGCCGAGAGTTTTCACTAACAAATTACAATTGTGTTACATGACCGGTCATAACGTGACAACGTAAACGAACCATATTTTATACTCTGAGTAGTAGTAGTAGTCGTTGCCAGCTTTACTTATCGATATTTTGCCGCGAAGAAATAATGAATATTGAAAAAGGTATTTATTATATTGATATGAAATGTTGTAAATGTGGGACTTCAACTTGTGTGTGTGTGTGTGTGTGTTTTTTTTTTAATTTTTCTTCACCTTGAAAAATAATTGCAAAATTAAATTGTTGATTATTTGAAATATTATTTATGATATAAATTTTTACTTTGTTCTCGTTAATGTATGAATTTTGATCTAAATAAAGAAAGTTAAATAAAGAAGGCTAGTTTGATTATAATTAATTGTTAATTTTATTGAAAGTTTATTAATTTTATGCGATTCAATTTTAAATTGCAAATTGAAAAAATATATATTATGCAGATTTATTTGAAAAAATTATTCTCGTCTATTACATATTTTTCTTGAACGATAATAATGGTTATAAATAATGATGGTTAATGATATTCATACGCAAACTTAAATAACGTAAATTAAACATATATGCATGATTATTTATATTTCGCTAATTTATGCATTAAGGAAAAACTACTTTGACGTACTTTAAATTTTCTTTTAAATCAACATTTATAGAAATAAGTTTTTTTGATATAATTTGTATATGCAAATGTTAAACTTACATCTCACATGTAGACATTATACTTATAGATTTATCATCGTATTTATATCATAATATAAATTATAGAAAAGATACATTAAAAAAAAGAAAAAGAAAAAGTTTTAAGTAACATGCGCAAACAAGA